GCCCGCGCACGGCTGCGCCACAGCGCCTCCCGCGGCCGCCTCGGGAACTGCAGGGGGCGGGTGGCGCCAGCCGGCGGAGGGGAAACTGAGGCCCAGGGGTCCCGGAGGTGTGGGAGGCTGCAGGCTGGACGTGTACATCAGAAAGACGGACAGGTCTCCCCACGCTGGCTTTGACATTCTTAATGTGTCCGTCACCGACAGCCATGAGATCGGCCCCCGCTGCCGGGTGCACTGGGGAGACTGAGGCGGGTGGAGCTGGAGATCTGGGCTAGCTCGGGCTACATGGTAAGAGCCTGTGTCAAGACAAAATAAGCAGCCACAGATGGGACGGTGGCTCTGCAAACAGTAGGTGAATAATGAAAGCCAGCCTGTGACGTGGACACAAAGGACTGGACAGGGGCAGGGGGATGACAGTGGAGGGCAGAGAAGCTGACAGGCCATTCAAGGAAAGAAGCAGAAGCCCAGGCTGGCCCTTGCAAGCAATCCTCCTGGCTCAGTTCTTGAGTCCTGGGATGACAGGCCCGCACTACCACATCCGGCTCATATTTTTAGGTTGAAGTTCCTAGTACCAGAGACGTCGTCTGTGTGTAGGCTGTGTGCGTTAAAACGGTGACATCTGCGGGGCGGTAGTGACCGCGCCTTTAATCCCAGCGCTCCAGAGGCAGAGGCAGGAGGATCACTGTGAGTTCGAGGCCAGCCTGGGCTATACAGAGAGTTCCAGGACAAGCTGGGGCTATGTCAAGAGACCTATCTCAAAAATAAACAAGCGATATTTTATTCATTGCAGATTTTTTGTGTGTTCATTTTAACTATTGCATGGAATATCCTCCATGTTGATGACTGGGTTTGGGGCTTTTTTTTTCTCCCAGAGGATGTGGAGGCAAAAGGATTAGGTTCATCCTTGGTTACACAGGGAGTTGGGGGCTAGCCTGGGCTACATGAGACAGTGTCTCAAATAAATAAAAGAATCAAATAGATGAGTCCTGTTCCTGCAATCCCTCTCTCTCTCTCTCTCTCTCTCTCTCTCTCTCTTCCTTTCTTTCTTTCTTCCTTTCTTTTCCAGACAAGGTTTCTCTGTGCAGCCCTGGCTGTCCTGTAACTCGCTCTGTAGAGACCAGGCTGGCCTTGAACTCACAGATCCGCCTGCCTCTGCCTTGGTGTGCTGGGATTAGAGCATGCACCACCACTCAGCTATAATTGGTTTTTGTAAAAGAATTTACTTATGTGCAGGTGTGTTGCCTGCATGGCTGTGCACATGAGTGCAGTGGTTGCAGAGACCGGAAGGGGGCGTCGGGTCCCCAGAACTGGAGTCACAGGCGGTTGTGAGCCCCGTGTGGGTGCTGGGAACCGAGCCTGGGCCCTCTGCAGGAACAGCTGGTGTGTTAACTGCTGAGCCATCCCTCCAGATCCCTATAATTTGTTTTAAAGAACAGGAACTGAGACCCAGAGAGGTTGATCCTTTGTGCAAAGTCACACAGCGGGAGTGCTGGAGTCTAACACCAGCTCTGGAAGCCCAGATGCCTCCCAGGATCCCTTCTGCTGTCCCCAAGCTCCAGGCAGCCCTGCCTGCGGCTCCTCGCTTGCTGTGGACACTAGAGGGAGACGGGACCGGCCCCCTGTGGGCTGGCTTCACGGTCGAGGGTGATGGCAGGGCTGTGGGGCGGGACAGAGCAAGGCCTGGGGTCAGGGGTTACCTCCGAGCAGCAGGGAGGCTGGGAGATGCTGAGGCTGGTCCTCAGACTGTTTCCATGGAGACCGGAGGAGGATGCCGGCAGCCCCCGCGGGCCTCTGAGCTGCGAGAATCGTTAAAAAGCATCGAGAGGGGGGACCAGGCCTCCCGGGAGCCGGGGATGCGGGTCAGAGGCGGGGTCCTGCCAACTGCCCCACAGCTGGCATCCACCTGCCTCAGCATCGGCCCTGGGGTAACGGGCTTCGAGCCATTTCAGTCCCAAAAACATGTGGGCGGAAGCGGCAGGTGGCCTGTGGAGGGAGCTGGGGCTCTTCCCTCAACCCCAGCACCATGTCAGCCTAAAACAGCACCTGTCTGGGGACTCCTCGCTGACACCCCGATTCCTGCAGCTGGTATCACCATAGCTATGGGGCAGGAGACCCGTGGCTGCTGGTCCAGGGGATGGGGGGGTCCCATCACCTTGTTCGGGCTTTTGTTCATGCTCAGGTGAGTGGGCTCTTTCAGAACTCACCTCAGCCTCAGTTGCCCATATCCAGGGCGGATTCGTTCTCAGAGGTGCTGAGCTGAGCCCCTGGCCTGCACCCACTCTGTGCCAGGAGCCCCCCATTGTGACGGGCACAGCCCCCCCGAGGGCAGTCTTCCCTAACTCAGCACTGCAGGGGTGGGAGGGGCCACCCCTCCTGCTGCCCTTCCCTCCCAGGGTTCAGGGGAGGTCCGTCCAAGTGCCACCCAAGTCAGGGCTGGAACTGACTGTGTCACCAGCCCCCACATGCCCGGCCCAGCACAGACACCTGTGGATGCCACGGAGGGCAGTGACTTACAACTCCTTTGCTATTTAGTTTTGAAACAAGGTTTCATGTAGCCCAGGCTGGCCCCAAACTCACTGTGTGGCCAAGGATGACCCAGAACTGATCTTACTTCCTCCGCCATGCCCAGCCTACAAGCCACTATAGCCAGTGCGGTGGTGCAGACCTTCACTCCGGCGGGATTGCCACGAGGCCAGCTGAGGTGGCAATGACACCCTCCCTCAGAAGCAGAGGTCCGGGAGCCTGAGTTTGGATCCCCAACACCCACGTAAAAATCTGGTATGGCAGCCACATGGAACCCCAGAGTTATGGAGGCCAAGGCAGGAGCCTGGCTCAAGGCTCAGAGCCCCTGAGTCAAAAGATTGGAGGGCCGGCGAGAGCACTCAATGAGTAAGGGTGCTTGCTGCCAAGTCCAACAACCTGAGTTCGATCCCCGGGACCCACCGAGGAGAACGACGTCCTGGGGGTGACCCTGAGTGGTGTATCGTGTGACCCCCCCACATTCCCCCCTTCTGTGGCAAGCACACGATCACCCGCGGACACCTGCAAGCTGTGGCCCCTGGAGTCCAGGATCTGACAGAGCCAGGGTCTCATTGTGGATTCACAGGTGCCCTGCGCCCCAGGGACCTTCCCAGACTTCACGGTCAGGATACAGCTCCCCTCACCTTGGGCTCAGGATCACAACATTCAGGTGCCTCACTGTGCTTGGCCCAGGGCTTTGGCACACACCACACCCTCTGCCTGAACCCAGGCAGAAGAGACGCCACGGTCTGTCTGTGCCCAGGTGGGTCTGTTCCCCTTCGATAGTCACAAGTGAGCAGCCGTCCATCCCGAGCGGAGCGGACAGGATCCCAGCCTCACAGCAGTGGCTGAACTGAGGTTTGTTGACTGATTACATGACAGGGACTTGGGTGATTGGCAGAGCCTGTGGGAGGAGCTGGGCCCTGGGAGGAGCCTGGCAGGGGTGGCCTTTGAGGTGACGGCCCTCCTCATGCCCCCAACCTCTCGTCCACTGAGAACCTGTACAGTGCCGGGAAGCAGCCTTGTCAGTCAGGCTGGGAAGCGGCTGTGGTGGACGGCAGGGCTGATGCCCCACGAGCCCAGGACAGTGGCTATGGGCCCAGCGGGACCTCGGGGTTCCTGCAGACAGGAGCAGCAGACGTTCCCCAGGACACCCGCAGGCACGGTCCTTCAATATGGCTTTTATTTTCTAACCCGCCAACTGCAGACCCCAGCCACCGTCCCCAGACCTGTCTAGGCAGAGGGAAGAGGCCCCTGCACCTTGTGCGTCTTTTCCAGTGATGGGGTGGCACCGGCCTCAGACCCGTGACCAGCTGCCAGGACAAGATTACGGGGCTGGAGCCCAGCAGTCCGGGGAGGGGCGAGGGTGCCGGGGCCAGGGTGGCAGGCTGGCCCCTCTCACCCCACAGCAGCTGCCGGGGTGACAGCCGTCACCGCTGCGAGGCAGAGCAGAGGTCAGGGCGGGCCAGGCCTCAGCAGGGGCTGGAGCGACACCAGGGCTGCCCCAGCGGCCTCAGCCCGACGCCTCCTGGGTCATATTGCTATGGAATCTGTTCACCGTGGGGTCCCTGAGGTCGACTGCCAGCGCTGACATCCCTCCCTCCTCCCTCCCTTCCACGGGGCTGTCCTGTTGGTGCGGCACCTACGGCCATGCTGGCCTCGCGGTTTCATCCCACACTGTGACAGGGGGGCTGGATCCCCAGAATGCATCACAGGCAGGGAAACTGGGGGGGAGAGGGAGGGGGGGAGACCTCAGGGCTGCAGGCTGCCTCCAGGGCCACCTCCTGCCCTGTCACCAGCATCTGGACTAGGGTGGGGGACACTTGCAGGAGGGGAGGGGATGGTGAGGCAGGTCCAGCTGGGGGACCAGGTGGGTCCAGCGGTGGCCACGGTGACAACAGTCTGAAGGGAGCCTGGGACAGCAGGGAGCCACAGTCTGGGACTGGCCAGCGCCAGGAGAGGCAGCCTGGTGGTGGACGCCTCTGAGAGCCGCAGGGGGCACAGGCTGCTGGTACCCGGCCACTGGGGAGGCCAGCATGGCGTGTGGCCCTTCAGTGCACGTGGCCCGGGTGACCAATGTGTCCCTGTGGGCTCGTCTGCGGGCAGGCGGGGCTCTCCTCCAGGAAGTTCAGAAACAGACGGGCAGAGGCATCCCTGCATCCTAGTGACCGATCCAACCCTCGGGTTCAGTCTGGCCACGTGGGTGCGTGGGCCGGTCTCTCCTGGGCCTCTGCACAGCCGTGGTCACTGCGCCTTGGCCTTGAGCAGCAGCCTTTGCACGGTCTTGTACAGCACGTGGAAGTGCTGTGGGGACACAAATCGTCAGGGGTGGGGACGCCAGAGCCACCCTGCCCCCAGGCTCCCTGCCCAGCCGCTCACCTGGACGGCCGTGTACGCCATGCCGAGGTAGGCCCCGATGCACACGGCCAGCAGCAGGTCAAAGATGGCTGGCTTGACCCTGAGGGACAGTCCGTGGGGTCAGGGAGCAGAACCGTCACCCCGCAGAGCAAGCGAGGCCCCTCGGCTCCAGCCCACCACTCACCTGTAGGCGTTCATCACCTGCTTCAGCTGGTCATAGAAGACAAACTCGGGGTCCCTGCGAGAGACAGCCCCACTCAGTGCCTCCCCGACTGAGGCTCCGTCTGAGAGAGCTCGTCTGGAATGGCAGCCCTTGGCAGGCTGATGCAGGAGCATGATGGGTTTGAGGCTTGCCCAGACTACAGCTCAATTCAGAAAGCTAAAAATATTTTTTTTTGTGGTTTTTTTTTTTTTTTGGTTGTTGTTTTTCGAGACAAGGTTTCCCTGTGTAGCCCTGGCTGTCCTGGAACTCGAATGTAGCCCAGGCTGGTCTCGAACTCACAGAGATCCTACTGTCTCTGCCTTCTAAGTGCTGGGATTAAAGGCGTGCGCCACCACCGCCTGGCTTAAAAATATGTTTGAAATAGCTAAGAAGGGACCAGAGGCTGCCTGGGCTGCCTGGGAAGTCTTTCCAGAAAAAGATGCAGCCCAGGCCTGGCGTCCATGCTTGGCCTGGTCCTCTGCTGACCCGTGGCCCCCCTGGACTCGGGGAACGTGCCCACCGCTCACCGCTTGTCAGCCTTGACATGGTGCTGCCGCACGTCCTTTAGGTAGCGGCTGAGAAAGTGCTCCAGTGTACTCAGGAACGTCCCGTCCTTGTCCAGCAGCTGGGCGGCCCGCGGCTGGTTGGTGAGCCAGTCCATGACGGAGTCTAGCTGCTCCTGCTGGACCTGCTGGGGGCAGAAGCAGGCTGGGATCCTGCGGGGGTCACAACAGGGGTCCCCGTGGTCCCACCCCATCCCCACACTTTACCATCTGCTCCGTGAACACCGGCATGTCTGGGGGCGTCCCCTGCAGAGGGAGGGACAGTGTGAGGCGGCCGGCAGAGCTTTGTGCACCCCAGACAGACAGGGCCAGGACCAGATGCTCACCTTCTCTGTCAGGTTGTAGATGACCCGTGTCAGGGCCTCAGCAATGATCCGCGTGTTCCTCGTCAGCGTCTTGGAGTCCACCCGGGACCTTGAGAACAGGGGGATGGGCTCCTCAGACAGGGAAGACTGCCCCCAGTGCCCAGGCTCGGGGGGAGCTGGCTGCAGGGCCAGGCCACAGAGCGTGCCTGCTCATGAACGCCACGCAGGGCAGCCAAGGCCCAGTGTGGTGATGGAGCTCTGGTCTGGTGTGGTGTGGGGAGTGGGCAGCGTCTGCAGGGCCCAGGACGCCCTGCAGGGAATGGTCACCTCAGGGCCCTCGGGGTGGGGGTGGGCAACCCAGCACCCAGCCTGAGTGGGTCCAGGTCTCTGTGTGACCAGCTGCTGGCCCTCCACAGCCTGCTCTTGACTCCCAGCCCCACCCCCACCCGGGACAAGTGCCCACACCCTGCTCCGTGTGGTCATACAGCTGTGGTCAGCCTAGGGAGAGTTCCAGAAGATGGCTCTGCTCTCCCTCAAGGAAGGTCATTAGCAGTGGCTTATGCCCCAGCCCAGAAGTTCTCTCCTTGGAAGAAGCTGAAAGGTGCCTCCCACAGAAGGTTCCAGAAGGAAGCCCCAGAGAAGGCCCTAGAATCTGACCCCCACAGGTTATTACAGAAGATGACACCACCCCTCCCCTTCCATGAAAGATTCATGGTGTCCCTCACCGGTTCTGAAGGCTGCTCCACCAAAAAGTGCCCCCATGGAAGGTTCTAGGAGCTGCCCGTACCCGGGGAGACCCGGGGAGACCTGGAAGGTGGCTTGTGTCCCTACGGGAGCTCCTGTGGGTGGTGACCCCGCCCCGCTCACCGCACGTCCATGATGCTGCTGCGCGGCCCTGCGCGGTGGCTCTCCAGGTGCGACAGGGTGAAGGCGGGCAGCCTGCGGATGGCGAAGCGCTCGTGCTCCCAGGCCAGCACGTCGTCGGCCAAGTTGATCTTCTTGTGCACCATGGAGAAGCTGACGTCGGGAAACTGGTGCGCGGCTACCGTCTCCAGCTCCCGCAGGAAGGCGTGCTGCAGCGTGCCCTCCCGAGGAGGCTTGGACACGTGCAGGCGCAGGTGGCTGCCTCGGCCCACGGTGTCCAGGCACAGCACGAAGGCCACGTTATCCTGCAGCAGGCTGGAGTCTGCGGGGCAGGTGTGGGTCAGGGGCACGAGGCCACTCACAGCAGACCCAGACCCAGGCCCGCCCCGTCATGCCCCGCCCACAGAACCACCCACCAGACCCAGGCCCGCCCCGTCATGCCCCGCCCACAGAACCACCCACCAGACCCAGGCCCGCCCCGTCACGCCCCGCCCACCTGTGTGGTCCAGGCTGTCCTCCAGCCAGCGCTTGGTGCCCTGGTAGTTGAACTTGCCCCCTCCTGACGCGAAGAACAGGAGGTTGTACCTGCAGGTGTGGGTGTCAAGGGACGCGGCCAGATGGGGCGCACGGAAACCCCAGATCTCTCCAGACCTACCACCAGCTGACACCCCCCAACAGGCCAGGGATCGCCAACTGTGACAGCCATCTGTGTCCCCAGATGTTGCAGAGGCCCCGGGGGGGGTGGGGCTGCCAAGGACACTCACGTAGAGGACTCTAAATTAGCACCCGGTCCCCAGATGCCAAGGGCCCGCTGACGCACACCTTGGCTAGAAGGACCCCAGATGTCACAGGCACCCCATACCCTCACCTGGAACCACAGCCAAGCTGCCCCGTGAGGACACACGGGTTGTCCCTGGCCCCTAATGCTGACTGGCCACGGCCACCAGGGCTGGTGCAGGCCGTGAGGGGCAGACAGCTGGGCTGGGCAGGAACTAAGTTGCCCCATGGCTTTAAAGAAGGGCGCTCCCCTCAGCGCCTCCTATCGATTCCTGCCCTGCGGCCACTCTGGGACCAAGAGGAGGCCGAGAACCGGCGTACTGGCTGCCACCTCTCAGGGCAGTAGACTGGCGGCCCAGGGCCACCCGGTGCCCCAGCTGACATACGTCAGAACTCTCACAGGAGATCTGTAGCTAACCCTGTGACTGTCCAGCTGTGGGCACGGAGTGGGTGGAGATGGGGGTCCAGACCACCCCGGAGCTGAGGAAAGAGGCTGGCCGCAGCCGCTTCTGGATGGGCCCCTCCCTCCCCGGGACCAGCAACATCCGGGTGTGGGATGGACAGTGGGGTGGCCTGAGGACCGCCCCCCACGGTGGCACTCACGCTGCGTGTGTGCGCTTGTAGGTGTAGAGGCGTGAGAAGAGACGAGCCAGCTCCAGCAGCACCGAGATCCCGCTGCCGTTCGAGTCCGCGCCCAGGGACAGCCACTGCGGGCAGGGGGCGAGTCAGCCACGGCCCATGCAGGCCAGGCCCGCCCACTCGGGGCCTCGCCACGCGCAGGGCACAGCAGGCAGAAGGGAGACATGAAAACCCGCTGGGCCGAGCATGGTGGCCACACCTTTAACCCCAGCTCTCAGGAGGCTGAGGCAGGGGGATTTCTCTTAGTTCCAGGACAGCCAGAGCTTCGAGAGAGCAAGCCCGGATGTTTCCTTCTGTAAGATTGCTGTGCTCACCAGGGGTGGGCGTTCCGGGTCCCACCCTGCATCACCCCACACAGTGGTGTCTGGAGCAGCCGGCAGCCACTGCCCTGCTGTGCCTGTGAGGCGTCCCCATCCCTTCCTGGCCCTGCGCACCAGGTACTTACCGGGGCCACCCCAAAGGCATCATAGTGAGCCACGATGACAATGGTGGGGAGATCCTCACCCCCCAGCCCTGTCAGCCGCCCCTGTGGGGAGACAGAGATGGATCGGTGAATCCAGACGCCCAAGACAGCCTGGTTGTGGTTCCCGAAGGTCACCTGGTGTGCTGTGGGCCCCTGCAGCTTGACGGCCCCCTCAGCCCCCTCCCACAGGGTGGTGGCCCCCAACGGACAAAGGCACAAACTGCCTGGCCCAGGATGGGGTGCACAGCGAGGCTGCGCCTGCCCAAGTCCCCCCGGTCCTCCACACGCCTGTCAGAGCCATAGGCTGTACATCTGATCACGTCAGTTGTCAGAATGCTGCAGATGCTTCCTGTGGCCTGCACTCCAGCCCCGCCCGGCCGCCCCGCCAGCCCCGCCAGCCCGCCTCACTCATCCTGCAGCTCTGAGCACCCGACCACAGAACTCCAAGCGTGGGGTTTTCTTTTGCTTGTATTAAAACAGGGTCTCCTGTATCCCAGGCCAGCCTTAGACTCACTATGCAGCAGAGGATGGCCCTGCGCTCCTGATCCTCCTGCCTCAGCCTCCCAGGTGTGTGCTACCAGGCCTGGGGTATGTGATGCTGGGCAAGCGCCCCCCACTGGGCCACAGCCCCGGCCTGAAGTGAAGTTCCTGGGTCACCACCACCACTTCCTGCATGCAGCAGAGGCATGACTGGACCTCAGGGATCATGGTGCAGGCCGTGCAAAGGCCCCGGGGCAGGCTGAGGGGCAGCGTGGCAGGCGCTCACCTCCACGCTGGTGATCAGCCAGTCGCTCACCGCCTGGCTCTGGGCTCCGCTGGTCACCATCTGGAAACCGTTGGCCGTGGCCGTGTGCAGCAGCACTGGGGACACAAGGGGAGGGGGGGTCACCTGGGTCTGCGGCCAGGGTCACAGCTGGGTGGAGACCGCAGACAGAGGCCCAGGACAGCCCCAGCCGTGGACCCGGGGTCACAGCTGGGTGGAGACCGCAGACAGGGGCCCAGGACAGCCCCAGCCGTGGACCCGGGGTCACGCCGCACCCTCCGGCGGCCTAGCTCACCTTCAGCAGCAGAGGCGGAGCCCTGGGAGGCGGAGGCGGCCTGGGTCTGCTCGTAGATGGACAGCAGGGCCTCGTCCTCCACAGCGAAGTACACGGGCACCACAGTCTCCATGGCCAGCATCTCAGGCTCGATCTCCATGAATTGCTGTGGGGAGCACATGCATTCAGGGGACCGCGGCCACCCCCGGAGTGGCTCCCCGTCTCAGCTCCCTTCCCGAACGGCAGAGAACACAGCCCAGTGTCCTCAGGACCAGTCACCGCCGTCAAGACTCAGAAAGGGAAAGCCAGTGGCCCAATGACACACAGCAGAGGCCACCGGAGGGGCGGGGACGGGGATGGGGACGGAGGCGCAGCTCACCCGGACAACGTCCTGGGGCACGGCGGCCATGGCCCGGGGCAGGATGATGACCACGGCGCCCGCCGACTGTCGCAAGGCCTTCTGGTAGTGCTCGTAGGAGAAGTCCAGAAGCCGCATAAGCACGCAGCGGCGGCTCAGCACGTCGGCGTCCACTGTGCGCGCCTCCGTGTTGAGCACTGCGTTCCGTGTGCCTGTGGGGACACAGGGTCACAGCATCACAACCCAGGGTCAGGGTCCGCACCTGTCACAGCTGCCGGCCTCCCAGTGTATGGACACTGCCCGGGGCCTCCACGCCAGCACACATGCCATGGGGAGCGGCTCTCGCAAGACAGGCACGGGACCCCTGCCACACGGCCGTGAGGGCCACCTGGGCCCTTAGGGGTCTGCACGGGCCAGAGGACAGCGATGAACCACCATGGACCTCAGGCCACAGTGGGCAGCTCCCTCTGGGAACCCAGCCCCCTGCGTCCGTGACACACTCACGGCCAGAACGGTGGCACAGGATATAGTGGTGCTTCATAAACGCTCAGTTCCCCCAAGGGTGATGGCAGGCAGCACCCCCAGACACGCATGGCCAGGAGGGGGCAGTGGATGGCTATACAGACTGAGGGTCACAGCTCAGTGTGGAGGGGACTTGATCCCGGTGGGTGTCCAGGTCGGTCACCTGGACACTGACACCCAAACTACCATGAAACCTTCCGACCCAAGTGTCAAGGGCATGCAGCGGCTGGGTTTGGGATAGTTCCTGTGTGACCACTGCCCAGCCACATGGGGTGAACTACACCCCAGGACGGCAGCTGGATGGGTCCCTGATGATCACAGGCTGAGAAAGCTTAGGAATGGCCGTAACCTGAACCCACAGGGAGCCTCAGGCCCAGGACCCGCTGAGACCCTGCTCTGACTTTCCAGGAATGCAGTCGGGGGCGGGGCGGGCCTGCCAGGGACAACTGTCCTGGAAGCCAGCACAGGCCAGGTGTCCCATGGACACCCAGCTCCTTCCAGGTGTCGCCCCACACCTGTTCCTGGCCTCTGAGGGTGGCCCAGGCGCCAGCTCTTCCTCCGGGTCCCTACAACGTCCCCCAGAAAGCCACAGCTATGGCAGGGCAGCCCTGTGCACCTGGCCCTGCTCCTGGTGGGGATGTGGCATGGAGCCCCAGTGGGCAGTGCTTCCCAGTCCCCAGGACTCCCCCAAACCACCATGCTCCCCCTAGGAGGGCGGCCAGGCCTGTGACCTGGCCTGTGGCCAACCAGGGTCACAGCCCACCCATGCAGTTCCCCTCTGCAGACATCCGTAGGGCAGGGATGCCGTGAAGGCGGGCCAGGTGCACTGAGCAGCATCTCCCCGTGGCTGGCTGCTCCGCTCGCTGGTGTCAGTGACCAGGTGTCAATAAAACTTTATCCACAAGCGCAGGGGACGCCAAGCCTCATCAGCTGGCTCCAGGCTTGTGGGGGAAGACAGACCTCAGGGCCACCAGGCCGACGAGATGCTGAAGTCCTGTCCCAAGTGCCATGATGACAAGAAGGTGGGTCCTAAGGAGGCCAGAGTCCACAGCGGGAGGGACGTGGCCTCAGCCACGCCCCACTACCAGCCTCCCTTCCCCCCAGTGTCCTTTATTTCTCAACAAGGCCCAGGGGAAGTTGGGTAAGGGGAGCTGCAGTGAGGCTGGGCAGCAGCTTGGGGCGGAGGGGACCCCAAGGGACGTATGCCCAGGGTTTCTCAAGACCTGCTCTGGCTGGCTGGTCTATCATGGTCTCCAGGGGTGCAGGAGCCCCATAGTCCATATCCAGCCAGGGGTGGGAGAGGTTGCATGTCAGGCGTGTGGTCCACTGAGAACAGGACCTCACACACCAGCCCATCCAAGGGGCGGATGCGGGCCACGGGTGTGTGAGCTGGGCGTGGGCTGGGCGTGGGCGTCAGTGGTCTAGGAACTACCCTCTGGACCATGGAATGCTCTGGAACAACTCTAGGAGCTCAAGAGCTAAGCGGCCCAGCTTGGTAGCCGCTGGCTCCATGTGGCACCTCGGGTGTGTCCCCGGCCACTTGGTGGTAACCCACTGTGGATGACGCTTCAGAAGATACTAGGCCGCAAAGGACCATAACACTGGGGACACCTGACCACCCACTCCTGGTCCTGTGGACCCAGCCTGGGACGACGCTCATCCTACGGTGCCCTGGGTGCCAGGGCACTGTTTCACTGTCCTTGGCCCTGCGAGGCCTCCATCCCACTCCAGGGTCCCCAAGCAGGGGCGGCCAATATGGCCCCCAACATGGCAATGTTGTTCCTTTAAAGAGAAATAACGTAATTCTGGGCACAAGGGCCGTGGGGTCCGCATAGAGAGGGTGGGGGTGTGCAGACCCAGGCTGGCACACTCGCTCCACAGCCCCCCTCGTCCCCTCCCGCCCCACGCGCAAACTAAATACCAGAGGTCCTGGAAGGCCAGGAAGAGGGAGGCTTTAGGAGGCTCAAGACCCAGGCATGAGGACAGAGGCCCCGGGGAACCCTGGCGAGGGGCAGCGAGCAGAGCAAAGGGGCGGAGGGGTGGTGCTGTGGGAACCAAGGCGCCGGGGGACCCCAGGACAGCAGGCCTGGGACAGGTCGGGAGTAACCAGTGACAGAGAGGGGGTCAGGGTGACGGGGATCAAAGAGAGGCGGGAACCCGGGTGACAAGCGTCGGTGTGACAGCAGGGAGCCCGAGGGGACAGGGAGACGTGGGACAGGCAGGACGGGGGTCAGTGTCGGTGGGGAGATGAGGCGACAGTCGGGGGTCCTCGGCAGGACGGTGTGGGGATCGCGGGGACGGGGGACCCGGGCGGCAGGGGGCGGGATCGGGGTCGCGCACCGTACGGCTGGCCCTGCAGGTCGTACTGCTGCATGCGGTACACGGTGAACTCGTGCGCGGCGTCGGCAGCGGGCAGCGGCGGCGCCACGAGCAGCAGCACGGCGGGCAGGAAGACGATGAAGCCGAGCGGCAGGCAGGACGCCTTCAGCACGTTCTCCAGCACCTCGCCCGCTTCCTCCAGCATCCCGGCGGGCGGCAGGCCGCAGAGGCGGCAGAGACGGCGGCGGACGGCGACTGCAAGCGGCCGGGACTTCGCGGACTCAGCTCGGCATGGGCGGCCGATGAGGTCCTTCGGGCAGAGCCACGGACAGCCCGCGCCTACCCAAGGGTCCTTCGGGCAGCGCTGCGGACGGCTCTGGGAGCCGCGCGGCCTGCTGGGGAATGTAGTCTTTCTTGTGAGTAAGCCCCGCTGTTGCCGGCCCCCGCCCGCGGGGCAATCCTGGGAGTTGTAGGCACACTGAGACTCGTAGTCACCGAGCGCGGAGCACCCTGGGAGTTGTAGTCCCACTGTGGGGCTCCCAAAGCGAAGCTATGGCGGCGGACGGTCTACCGCTACTGAACTCATAAACTCCAAGTCGCAAAACACCGATAGTTTTAAAAAAAACTATTAAAACTATTTTCAGTAAAGCTTGCTTAAGCCGTGTGTTTGGCGTCGTTAGGGAGATCAAAGACCGAAAGTACAGGACGTGACCTTGCGACCCGGATGGAAGCAGAGCGGGCATGAGAAAGTGCCCGGCTGATGCCTTGGTTCTCCTGGGAATTGTAGTCCGGTGGGGCAAGCACAAAGGATGATGGGAACTAGAGTCGTTCTGTAGTTTCTGAAAGGGGCGGGGGAGGTTAAAACGCGCAAAAAAGCAGATATGAAACCTAATGAGGAATCAGATCTTTGTCTTGAAGGTGCCTAGAGCCCCGACCACAAGACGTGGCATCCAGGGGGTATCTACAGGACTCTGAAGTGAACGAACGAGAAGATGGCTAAAAAATAAAATTCGGAGCAGGTGGTAAGGTTAGGTAAGGCAGGAATTGGCTTTAGCGGCAGTGCGGAGACTGATGTGATAATAGTGGAACTCGAGTGACGGTAGGAAGGTCTTCATTATCCCTGTTCATATTTGGGGCATATTTAACCTAAAAGTTTTGGTTTGCCTATTGCAAATTCAAATTTAATTTCGGAGCACCCAATATTGCTATGGATTTGACCAGTCCTAGGGACTTCGGTTAGGGCAATTGAAGGTGTGAATTAAAGTTATATGTCACTCACACCTCTAGGAATACAATAAATAAGAAATAAATGACCAAACACTGCCTGCCACCCACCCACCCCCAGACACAGACAGATAAGAATTCAATATGAGAACTGGTGTGAGCTTTGAGTAAGGCATGCAGTAGGTGCTTGATAAGCTTTAGAAGGATGCTCCAAGCTTGCGGAGAACTTGGGGCTGATGCATTCTCTGATGGCCTTAGGCGAGAAAGCAGATTCTACGATTCAGACTACTGGCCTCGTCCTGGAGAGTGATTAGTCTGCAACAAATGGATGCCAAGTGTATACCAGGCCTTATGCTAAGCACCAAGGCCACAACCCATTGGAGATCAAAGTGTAGAAAAGTCAACAGACGTATGCCCAGAACCTTGGACTTCTCCTACCCAGAACTGAGTGACCATCACTGCCATCCTTACAGTCACTGCTGGTGGGACTCGGTTACGATACACTGAGAAACTGAAAGTATGGGTTTCCTTCATTTTAATGATCTTACACAGCCCTGCACAGCTCACAGCTGCGCTACTGGACAGCGAGGTCCACGGTCCCCTGTCACCACACATCACCATGGTTCAGAAACGGAAGGGTGAGTCGACGGGTTACAGGACCAGGTCAAGATATTGCCCCAGACCTGGGGTGGGCGGGTCCGTTCTCCCCACATAGACAGAGAAGCTGAACTAGAGACAGGAGGTCATGGGGCCGGGCTGCCCGTCCCAGTGGGGAAGTCACCGTGGAGAGGGACGATTGACTGGTGGGTCCCCCGCTCCACTCCTTCTTGGAACATCTCAGCAAGGTGGCTGCCTTCAGACGATGGGGCGGGCGCCCTCCATCTCAGCACGCTCCCAGAGCACTGTGTGCACAGTGTGACAGCAGCCCCCCCCTGACACACACACTCACACTCACACACACTCACACACACACTCACACACTCACACACACACACTCACACACACGCACACACACACTCACACACACACTCACACACACACCACACACTCACACACACACACATACACACACACACTCACACACACACACACAGACACACACACTCACACACACACAGACACACACACACTCACACACACACTCACACACTCACACACACTCACACACACACACTCACACACACGTGAACCCCAGTGCGCTGTCCTGTTGGTGAACTCAGGCGTGGTGTGTCCCCTTCACGTCCTGGTGCAGGTGAGGCCCAGACCCTCAGGATCTGGTTCTGGCCACTCTCTGCTCTGCCAGACATTCAGCGTGGGGAGGCTCTGTGAACAGCCCCTGGGACCTGCTGGCGTGGCCAGGATCGTGTGTCCAGTCCCTTCTCACCTCTCCCGGGAGGGTCTCCAGGTTCACCCTGGCAGCTGGACCGTCCAAGCTCTAGACGCTCCGGACACTGGAAATGCTGGACAGCGGCTCTCGCATCTTGAAGCTGAGCGATCGGGAAGCCCGAAAACTGTCTCTCGTCCTTAGCGAGCTGTCGGTGGTGGACGCACCGGAGTGGGCCTCGGTGATCCGGGTCAGGCAGTCACCAGGACCCCGCAGGCCTAACCGAAGACAGCCGCAGCAGAGGAAGGCCAGCACTGCGCGCTGAACCTCGCGGCTGCGGAAGGAGTAGATGAGCGGGTTGATGGCAGAATTGAGCACGGCCAGGGCCAGGATCCAGTCCATGCCACGGAGGTACTCCTGGGCCCAGACGTTGGAACCGAAGATGTCGGCCAGGAGCAGGCCAAACAGGGGGCCCCAGCACACCACAAAGGCCACCAAAATCATCAGCACAGTGTTGAGCAGCCGGCGGGCCTTGCGGCGGGCCGGAGGCCGCGGGGACTTCTGCCCGTTGGCCCGGACCACCCTAAAGATGGCCCCATAGAGGCCCAGGATGGCCACCAGGATGAGGGCGAAGACCACCACGCAGAAGAGCACGTAGCCCTTGGAGTAGAGGGGCAGCAGGCTGGAGCACCGCGGGAAGGCGCACACGCAGTTCCAGCCCAGGAGGGGCAGCAGCCCCAGCGTGGCCGCCAGCAGCCAGCACAGCCCGATGCAGCCGTACACGCGGCTGGTCTTGGTGGCCCCGCTCTCGGCCACCCGCACCATGGTGGCGAAGCGCTCGCCGGCCGTGAAGAGCAGGCTGAAGGTGGACGCGGCCAGGGCCATGAAGAGCAAGCCCTCCCGCAGGAACCAGTGCGCGGGGGCCAGCTGGAAGGTGCGCGCCCCCGACAGCAGCACGTTGACCATGTAGGCCAGGCCGGTGAGCAGGTCGCTCAGCGTGATGTTCAGCAGGCAGTAGTAGACCCAGCGGCGCGAGCGCATGCGGGTGGCGATGGCGGCCAGCACCACCGCGTTCTCCAGCACCACCAGGCAGCCGGCCGCCACCGACGGCCCCCGCAGCGTCCCCAGCCCGCCGCCGTCCTCGGGGCCCCCGCGGCCGGCCAGCCGCCCGCTGTGGTTGTAGTGCAGGACAATGAGGTGGCTGTGACCGCTGGCCGCCAGCCGGTGACAGGACCAGGTGCTGATGTTCATGGCCTCCCGCGGGGACAGACTGACAGAGGCCCCCAGCAGGGTGGAGTCGCAGCCCGGCCTGGGTTTCCTGTTGTTTGAAATTTCCTGTTATGCTCAAGGTGCCCCCTGTGGGTGGGGGCGAGGCCGGGGCAGGGAGGGGCACCCTGAGCGACGGTTGAGGGGGGCCGGGAGGAGCCCTCCCGCGCTCTCACCCCTGCCCAGTGTCCTCTTCCCCCGTCCCGAGGACAATGGGCACCGCCTGGCACCTGCCCAGTCCCAAGAACCAACTGTTCCCAGCGTGCTTACATGCAGCAGGCGCTTAATAAATGTTTGCCGCCCACACACCGAAGGTCCATCTTAAAGTGTTTTCACTTGTATGCAGCGGGTGATGTCACCCAAACCCACCGAGGGAGGGCCACCCAGGCCCAGAAGGGGCTCCATAATGTTTTTTAAAAAGTCTTGTTGTGTTTATTTATTTATGGTGTGTAGGGTGTGCATGTGTCACACCACGGGCAGAGGTCAGAGGGCAATTTACAGGAGCGGGTTCTCTCCTGCCACCATGTGGGCCCCAGAACCGAATTCTGGTTGCCAGGGCTTGGCCACAATCACCCTTATCCCCTGAGTCACTCACTGGTGCTTAATGTTCAGTGACCGTACACAGCAGGTGCTTAATCAGTGTTTGATGTGTGTACACAGAGGTGCTCAATAAATGTGTAACAGCGCACGCCTTTCAGCCCAGCACTCGGGAGGCAGAGGCAGGCGGATCTCTGCGAGTTCCAGGCCAGCCAGGGCTACATATTAGAGAGCCCCTGTGTTAAAAAATAAATAAATAAAATTATATACTACTAATAATAATGAATTGTGCCACCCGTACAGAGTCGGTGCTTAATTAATGTCACCCAGCGGGGTAAAAATAGTCATCCACACACACCAGGAGCTTGACGACATTTTGTTTCCTGTACCAGGGACGCTTAATAAACGTCTGTCACCCTTCACACACACCAAGTGCTTAATAAATGTCACCCAAACACAGTAGGCGCCTAATCAATGTGCAGGAACTCCTGTCACGCCCGGGCAGGGCCGGCTCAGGACCATTTTGCACTCAGCTTTGCTAGGAGGGCAAAGCGAGGCCGGCGGGAGGCTGTGCGTATCCGGTTGTTTAAGTCAGGGACCCGGGCAGGGGGCGGCCGCGTCCCGGAATGGGGAGGGGCGGGGAACGGGGTCTCCAGCAGGGGCGCGGGGTGGCTGTGAAGGGGGTGGGGGTCGGGTGTCCTCGGGGTTCCCGGGAAGGGCAGGGCGGGGACCTCGCTTCGGGCACCCCTCGGCCCGGGTCACCAACGCCGGGGACCACTTGGGAGGGGCCCGGGGCCGGCGACTGCGGAGGGGCGGGACCCAGCCTGGGTGTCAATCACAGGTGTCAATCACAAGGGCTGAGCCCCGATCCCGGCCTCGGTCCTTCCCCGCGCTGAGCCCCGATCCCCCGGCCTCGGTCTTTCCCCGCGCTGAGCCCCGATCCCGGCCTCGGTCCTTCCCCGCGCTGCGCCCCGATCCCGGGGTCACGTCAGGCTGAGCCCCGATCCCGGGGTCACGTCAGGCTGAGCCCCGATCCCGGGGTCACCTCGGGCTGAGCCCCGATCATCTCACCTGAGTGCAGCCCTCCCTCTGACCTGGGACCCACGCGAGGCCCAGATCCCGCCCTGGGCCCTTTTCCCCGACTCCCCAAGTCTCTGTCCTACACTGAGCCCTGTTCCCAGATGGACCCCGAGCCCGAGCTAATCTCGTGACCACCGACGCGCCACGCTGCTGACGTTCACCCCGGTTGAGACCCGGTTCCAAGCATTAGCCACACCCCGACCTGGTTCAAGTCAGCACTGAAGTGCTGGGCATGGAGGACTGAGCACAGCACCCTGGAGTGAGCGGTGCTGAGTGAGGGCTGGCCAATCTCCTGGTGTCATGAGGCAACCACCATACAGAGCACAGCTTACAGACTCGTGTCCCCCACGGGAGGTGTCTCCATCGACAGCAAGCGAAGCCGCGCGGCGTGCGCGCCCTCTTCCCGCCCCGATTCGCCTGGAGACCGCGCTCTGGCCCGCGTGGAAGGCCATTCTCCCGGGTGCTGTTCGTGGATACAAAAGTTTCCGTGGGCACCAAATGGCGGCCGAGTCGGGCTTCACCTGGTTCAAGCCCTGCTGTGTCCCAGGGTGGAGTACTACGCAGCTGTGCAAAAGGACACGTGTCAGGGAGCTGCAGAGAGAACTCAGCCTGCAATGTGCCGCCGTGGGACCCGCATCCGGACCCCAGGACCCCTGAGAACAGCCCAGCTGTCACCCTACTGCTCGGGAGCCAGAGAAGGGTGATGTCACCGGGGGCTGGGCGCCTTCCTCGGTAGCTTCCCACCCTGTGTGAGGCCGGGGTCTCTCATGGAACCTGGGGCAGCATGGGCTGGGCCGCCCTGCCAGCTCCCACCTCACGACAGGCGCCACCACCGTGCTGGCTCCTAGGTGGATTCTGGGGATTCGAACTCGGGTCTTTGGACTTCAGCACTTTACCCAGTGAGCCATCTATTCCCCCCACCCCAGCCTCTGGCCCAGATTTGAAGTTGTCTGATGTCCCCTGCCTGGGTGGGGACGCCGAGGACAAGGAAGCTGCAATCCTCCTGCCTCAGCCTCCCGGTCGCTGCCTCTGGGGACGGCATTTCGCTGCCCGTTTCCCGTTTTGTTGTTGTTTAATTGCATTTATTTCTTGTGTGGGCAGCTGCGTCACCACCACGCACGCCTGTGGGATCCACTCTGAGACTCCGGCACTGCGCCTACCGAGCGATCGGGGCCCGAACTCCGGCTTAGCCGCAAGCGCCTTCGCAGGCGGGGCCGTCTCGCCGCCCGGTCTCCCCTTTACCGAGCGCACAGCGGTGTGGGGCAGCGCTGCGGAGTGTGGTGGGCGGGAGTCTGGGCACGGAGGGCTCCTCGCGGCTGTGGGATCTCAAAGCCGTCTCTGGCTCTGCCTCAGGCCCACGAGTGGGCAGACAACAAGCAGAACTTCCTCTCTGCCTCCCTGACACCGTCACGCGTGCCCCAGGGTGAGGATGGCATGGGAGGAAATGGACAGGGCCCCAGACTGGCTCAATCCAGTCTAGGTAGCCCTGGCTGTCCTGGAACTCGCAGGCATCCTCCTGCCTCTGCCTCCCGAGTGCCCGGGTTAAAGGCCTGACTCTTGTCCTTTCTCTAGTAACTAGGAGGAGGGCAAGGAATGAATCGCGCTTGGGCCCGGACCAGCGTGGGGAGCCCCCGCCCTGCCGATTCCCGCGCGTCCGCCAGGGAGTGGCCCGTCCTTGCCACCACGGTGCCCCGAGGGACGTCCCGGGTGGAGTCCCGGCCCCGCCCCGTGGGTAAACTGAGGCCGGGCGGGCCACGTCACAGCAGGTTGATCTCGTCTAGGTACCGAGCCAGCACCGAGTCCCGCACATCCTTGAACACACTGCGGACGCTGTGCGTGTCCGTGGCGCAGGTGAAGTGCGCAAAGAGGCGGCGCGCGCGGGACCCCTTCCTGCCGCCGTCGTGGGGCTCCGCGCAGCCCGCGTACACGCGCGCGTACATGTCCATGATGAAGCGCTTGGCGGCCTCGGCGTCACGACGGGGACCTGCGGAGAGGGGTGGGGTCGGCTCGGCTCCTGTATGTGGCCCAGGCTGGCCTCGAACCCCTATGTGGCCCAGGCTGGCCTCGAACCCCCCATGTGGCCCAGGCTGGCCTCGAACCCCCTATGTGGCCCAGACTGGCCTTGAACCCCCATGTGGCTCAGGCTGGCCTCGAACCCCCTATGTGGCCCAAACTGGCCTGAACCCCCATGTGGCCCAGGTTGGCCTCCAGGTCACCCTGTAGCCCTGGCTGGTTTCGAACTCCTGACCCATTTGCCTCTGCCTTCCTAGTGCTGGGATGATAGGACAGCAGCCCCAGGCTGGGTTTGTGCGGTGCTGGGGACTGAGCCTTGTGAAGTTCTGGGGGCCTCAGAGCCACTCCTGCCATCTTTATTGAGGGCAGACAAAGTCTTTGTCATCCCAGCCAATAGGAACGAGGAGTCACTTGTAAAAGTCATGCCGTGAGGCTCAGCTTGGGGATTTGGGTCCAGGGTGGGGCGGGGCTTCCCGCACTCTACTGGGAACAGGACCAGAGGCCTGGGTGTTTCGGGCATGCAGTCCTCCCCAGATGCTGTCAATCTTTGAAAATTCTGGAGGTTACATGGTGGGGTGTGTTTGTGTGTGTGTGTGTGGGGGGGCTCTGGGTGCAAACAGCGCGGGTTCGAATCCTGCTTCCAGGGCAGAGGAGATGGCTCTGTGGTAAGACAGCTTGCTGCCAAGCATGAAGACCTGAGTTCACATCCCGGCACCCAGGTGAGAAAACTGAGCGTGGCTGTGTGTGTGTGTGCACTGGGACCTGAGGCGGGAGGCTCCGGTGAGAAGGTCTGTCCGGAGGGAATGAGACAAAGACAGACTGAAGGACCAGACGGCCCCCTCCTGTGGCCCCAGCCTCCTCCCTGGCTTGCCTAGCCAGTGACTCTGCCTCTCTATGCCTCAGTTTCCCCATCTCTACAGTGGAAGACGTCCTGCTCTACGCGGTTGTTTCGTTTGTTAAGTGAGAGGTACTGATGTGACCGGAGCGCACCGAGTTTCCTCTTGTGTTCTGTGTGGGTGCTGTGCATGCGGGCGCGGGCGCAGAGGCCGTCTGCCGTGTCTGCCCAGCACAGTGCCTCTCTCTCTATACAGGGGATTCGAACTCTCGCCGGGCCCTTTACCCGCTCAGCCAGGCCTCTCCAGTTTTCAATTTTTTTTTCCCCCCTGACAAACAGAATTTCTCTGCGTAGCCCTGGCTGTCCTGGAACTCACTCTGTAGCCCAGGCTGGCCTCGAACTCACAGAGATCCTCCTGCCTCTGCCTCCCAGTGCTGGGATAAAGGACATGCGCCACTACCGCCTGACTTTAATTTTTCTGGCAATGCTGGGGATTGAAACCAGGGTCTTTCGCTTGCTGGACAAGCGCTGTGCCATGGAGCCACGTCCTCAGGCTATTTTGGTCTTTAGAGCAAATAACTGAGGAAATTGTCACAGAAAGCAAAACACGGAGAGATGTCAGCGGTAAATAAGGTTTTGGGAACCTGTGGTGTTTGATGAGAATGGTCCCAGCAGGGACTGTGTGTCCCTGGTGGAGGAGGCGGTCCTCCCTGGAGGGGCGTGTCCTTTGTTGGAAGAGGTGTGTTCTTGTAGGAGGGGCGTGTCCTTGTTAGAAGAGGCGTGTCCTTGTTGGAGGAGGCGTGTCCTTGTTGGAGGAGGCGTGTCCTTGTTGGAGGAGGCGTGTCCTTGTTGGAAGAGGCGTGTCCTTGTTGGGGGAGGCGTGGCCGCGTTGGAGGAGGCGTGTCCTTGTTGGAGGAGGCGTGGCCGCGTCGAAGGAGGAGGTTCCCTGGTTCTGAGAGTACACACCGCGCCCTCCGCCTCATTCTCTCTGCCTGCTGCCTGCATGCGAAGTTCTCAGCTTCTGCTCCAGCGCCTGCCTGTTTCCCACCACGATGATGGTGGACTAACACTCTGAAAGCGTCACAAGCCACTGATAGAGTACTTCCTTTTTAAGAGTGGCCGTGGTCATGGTTTCTCTTCACAGCGAAAGAACAGTGACTAAGACACTGGCCCTATGTTGAAAACAGTCTTTCCAAACCGCCCGATTTCTCTTCCCAGACTCTCTGGGCGGCAGCCCGGTTCTCAGGACTTCCCAGCTAAGATGCGCTGGAGGGGCTGGAGAGAGCGCCCAGAACTTCAAGTCTGTCCCCACTCAGCCTTGAGGGATATGACAGCCTGGAGGGGGTCTTGGGGCTCTCAGCTATGACAGAGCCAGTGGTCAAATCCTGGCACCAGAGTTCACCCAAGTTGCATTTGCGTGACCTTTGACCTGGTGTCTTGGACTGCAGCCCGAATCACGGCTGGGTGAGGGTTGAGGTCAAAGTGTCTGCAGACACTTATCTGCTCAGCATTGCAGATCATGGCCGGATTCGGAGTGGGAGTTCCGTGCTTGCCGATTTCAGATCTCACATCTCCTAAGCTGGCGGGAGACTCACTTCTGTGCCCTTGGCACAGTCCTCTGTCACAGCGGGCGCAGGAAGCTGGAGAGCCTGCCTCCTGAGACCCGCCGCGGTTAGGTAGCTCTCCTCTTGTTGAACCCGGGTTGGTCAATCAACTTCGGTGGCAGCGACTCGGACTTCCCCCGAGGCTTGATCACGATCGACGGCTTCCCCCTGGGCAAACGTCTGGCCACCCAGAGTCAGCCACAGTGAGGGGAGTGGGGCACATGGGGAAAGCTGGCTCCCCAGTGCACACAGCACAAGGCTCCTGGGAGAAGGCAGGCACCTTCTTGGGGTCTCTCTGGTCCCAGCCATGCGGCAGTGGACATCAATTTACCTAGCTCAGCTCTTCCCAAATCTCTAACCATTGGCTGGGAAGGATGGCGCACACCTTTAGTCTCTGCACTCAGGAGGCAGAGGCAGGCAGGGCTCAGACTTACAGACCAGCCTGGTCTACAGAGTTGAAGGCCAGCCAGAGCTACACAGTGAGGTCCTGGAGAGAGAGACAGAGACAGAGAGACAGACAGAGAGACAGAGGAAGAGAAGGAGGGAGGAAGCGAGGGAGGGAGGGAGGGAGGGAGGGAGGGAGGGAGGGAGGGAGGACCAAATTCCTGACCATGAGATCTTGAGCAAGGCTTAAGGATGCTTGGGAAGGTTCCTCCCAACAGAGCGGATCCTTGTAGCTCTGTACCTTCTCAGCTCTCCAAATACCCGCCTCCCTACCAGGAAGGGTCTGAGGGAGAAAAAAACAGCGGTTCCCACCTAGCTGCGATGGACCTGCCTTGCTCTGGAAGGTGAGTTCCAGTATTGTTTACGTGTGTCATACGTGTCTGCATTAATATGCGGTCTAATGAAGACCCGGTGGTGTTACACACCTTTAATGCCAGCACTCCGAAGACAGAGGCAGGCGGATCTCTGTGAGTTCAAGGCCAGCCTGGGCTGCAGAGTGAGATCCAGGACAGCCTGGGCTGCAGAGAGAAACCCTGTCTCAGGAAACAAAAGAAAAAAAAGAAAGATCACACAGATGAGATAACATATTGGATGTTACTGAGAGTTGATGAATCTATGAAAATTTCAGCACAGGACAGAGGTGGGGGTCAGCAGGACAGCCCCCCCCCCTAGAATCCCCAGTGAGGGGCTGGGGGCGTGGTCAAGGTGGAGCCCCCCCCTAGAATCCCCAGTGAGGGGCTGGGGGCGTGGTCAAGGTGGAGCCCCCCCCTAGAATCCCCAGTGAGGGACTGGGGCGTGGTCGGGGTTGGAGCCCCGCCCAGAATCCCCCAGTGAGGGACTGGGGTGTGGTCGTGGGTGGAGCCCTGCCTAGAATCCCCCAGTGAGGGACTGGGGTGTGGTCGTGGGTGGAGCCCCGCCTAGAATCCCCAGTGAGGGGCTGGGGGAGTGGGGGGGGGGAGCCCTTGACCACCGTGTTTAAGGCCCTGCAGGAATGGCTACCCACTATAGTCCCCACCCCCATGAAAACAGAAATAGATTTTTGTTGTTGTTCTTGTTTTCTGAGACAGGGTTTCTCTGTGTAGCCCTGGCTGTCCTGGAACTCACTCTGTAGACCAGGCTGGCCTCAAACTCGCAGAGATCCGCCTGCCTCTGCCTTCTGAGTGCTGGAATTAAAGCATGCCACCACACCGGGCTTAGAAACAGATTTTTTTGTTTGTTTGTTTGTTTTTTCGAGACAGGGTTTCTCTGTGTAGCTTTGGGCCTTTCCTGGGACTCACTTGGTAGCCCAGGCTGGCCTCGAACTCACAGAGATCCGCCTGGCTCTGCCTCCCTAGTGCTGGGATTAAAGGCGTGAGCCACCACCGCCCAGGCTAGAAATAGATTTTTATAGAACTTTTCATCCATCTGCTAAGAGGGTCACCTTAATTCCCATTCCACAGAGGAAGAAACTGAGGCTCATGAAGTATCAAAAGCAGCTGAGCTGGGAACCCAAGTCCTTATTCTCTTTGAAACTTCTGGTGACTCTGGATATGGGGTGAGCCTTGGGCAAGGTTCTCGCTGGGGAGCTGCTTCAGGGAGATGAGGGTACAGAATGTTCTAGAACGACTCACCCTGGAAGCTGGGGAAGTATGTGGCCAGGTGGGAGGTGTGGATCTTCTCCTCCAGGATGTCCGTCTTGTTGAGGAAGAGGATAACTGAAGTGCTCCTGAACCAGGGCAGCTCCAGGATTGTGCTGAACAGCGCTAGGCTCTCCTTCATGCGGTTCTGTGGGGGACAGAGGCAGGTGGTGGCCCCAAAGGATGCCTTCACCTCCTGGGTGATGAAGACTTGGGGTATCTCCGACCCCCTCTCTGACCGTGAAGAGCTGGACCTAAGCACCCTGTGTGCCCAACATCCTGAGTTGAGCAAAATTCTTCCAGAATGGACTTCCGATGGAACCACTAGAGTATGAAAACGTCTGAATGGGACTTCTCACATGTGATGGGCCAAGGCGAAGCCCCAAGTCACCAGAGAGCCATCTAATCCAACGACAGGTGCCCTCACATAGGGAACACTGTCTGAAGATGGGAACACACAGGAGGCTGAGCTCCTGTGAGCCAAGCACACCAGACGCTGAGAGGAACCTGGGTCTCAGAGGGGCCTGACTCTTTCCACACCCTGACCTCACACTCCCAGGTCCCAGAACTAAATAAAAACTGGGTGTCTGCATTTTAAGCCACCTGAGCCGCTCTGCTTGGTCACAGTGGCCACAGGACCTTGGTATATCCTGTGTGGCTGCTCTAGAAGCTGAGATCCATTAATTCAGCCTTAGGAAGGCCAAGCCAAGAGTGAGCAAAGTCCGTGTGTGTGTGTGTGTGTGTGTGTGTGTGTGTGTGTGTGTGTGTAAGAGAGACAGAGACAGAGACAGAGTGAGAGATGGGGGAAGGGAGAGGGGGGATATTGAACCATTCTTCTAGGAGATGGTTTCCATGCTGAGCCACACAGAGACCATCCAGCAACAGGACCGGGGTCTACGGTGACCCGCAGAGGTTCCTTCACTTGTGTGACTTGGGGTGCGATGGCATTTGGCCACAGCTGCTCCTAGTGGGGTCAGCAGAGGTTGGGAGACCTGTGTGTCCTGAGGTGGGTTTGGGGATCAGGTCCCACAAACGCCCAGCACAAAAGATGGGGTTAAGGCACTCCTGTCCGGGCGGGTGTGGCGTCCTGCTCCGATGGAGGGGTCCTCGCCCCCCAAAGGCGCCGTGCCTGTGACGACAGCCCCCTCACCTCCTGATCGTTCTCCTCCAAGCACTGGTCATACTCGCTCAGGGAGGCCAGGTAGATGAGGGCTATGACGTTCTCAAAGCAGTGGATCCATTTCTTACGCTCCGACTTCTGGCCGCCAACATCCACGATGCTGAAGAGAAACCAAGAGACCCCCGCCCCGCCCTTGCCCTTGAGAGAGGTCACATGACCAGGCCCCTGCTCACCATCACCCCAGACTCGGCTGCACCAGAGTCGCAAGACCTGTCACCATTGGATGAAAGGACAGACCGCCCAGCTGTGTGGCCTGCTGTGCTCACACTATGCTCACAAAGCTGAGGCAGGAGGATTGCCATAGTGTGAGGGTGGCTGACAGAGAGAGTTAAGGCCAGCCTGAACTACAGAATGAGATCCAGCCCCTCTCTTCCTCCTCCATAATTATATATATATGTATATAATAAAAATAGAAACCACAGGGCTGGGGAGTCAGTCCTGTGGCTAAAACTGCTTGTTAGGCAAATAATGGCTGTGATTTTGAATTCCCAGCATGCACCTGTAATCATCAATGAGAAAGGAGGCTGAGAGAGGAGGATGCTGGAACTGAATAGATAGGTGAGCACCAGGCTCAGGGAGAGACCCTGTCCCACCAAGATAAGGTGGGAGTGAGTTGGGAAACCCCACCCCGACCTCTGGCCTCCGTACACACGTACGCGCACACACATGCACACTGATGTTCACAAGCACACACAGAAACTGCAGAAGGTTCTTCGTTGGTGCAGGCCTGCATGTTCTCTATGAACATCAGGTACATGGGGGCAAGGAGGGGCGGCTCAGCGGTTAGCACACCGGCTGTCCCTGCAGGGGACACAGTGGTGGCTCACCACCATCTGTGACTCCAGTTCCAGGGGACCTGATGCCCCCTTCTGGCATTTTCGGGTACTGCATTCACACGCACAATCCCAGCTGACCCCACATGCTCACATAATTGAACATTCAATTAATCAGTATCAGGAATGTGTAAGACACAAGGATATTGAGTTAGGGGGCCAAAGGATGACACCGCTTATCTGTGAACCTTCAGCACAGGTACCGACGGAAGGCTGTGGTTCTGGCCACACCTCCTCAGACTTGGTTTTCCCATCAGTAGAATGGGCCCCTGTGTCCTCTGCTGATTCCCAGAATGGATGTGGCCCCTCTGTAGCTCAAGGAGGGCGCACCCTCCCTTCCACAACCACAACAAAAGCAAGGACCACCACCCCTTCCTGTGGCTTCTCAGAAACTGGGTCACTGATATGGATCTGGCTGTCACCTTCCTGAGCAGTAGATATTACTCACAGTGTCGATGACAGACAGACATGACACTAACGGAATTCTCAGAGCACGGAGGGCACAGAAGGGGGAACTGAGGCAGGCTCAGAACTTGGAGTTGAAAGGGTTCCTTCATCTACACATCTGAAACTTCACAGACACACGGATCAAAGACCCACAGTCACTTTTCCAGAACAAGCACTGTCACTCAAGAGTAGGAACCAAGCACAGCACAGGGTCACGCCTCAGCACTGAGGAGGCGGGAGCAGAAGGCGCTCTGTGAGCGTGAGGCTAGCCTGAGAACACGGAGAGAACCTGTGTCAAGACACTCACACATACGTGCACATACAGACACACACAGACACATGGACTCACATGCATACATACATGCACGCATGCACACAAACACGGACACATACAATGGTGGACAAGCAGACAATGATAGACTTCTGATATCACTTCCCGAAACTGCACCCCAGGTCACTGAGAGCCATCAGATCATTTATGAGTTTCTATGCCAGACCAGAGACTGTTCAGTCATTCCTCAAAGAAAGAAAACAAGTCAACTCTGCTTCCCATGTGCTGCCAAACTAGATACCTTTCCTCAGCACTCACAAACAAACCCCCATCCATCCACCTACACATCCATCCATCTATCCATCCATCCACTGTCCATCCACCCATCTATTCATCCAACCACCCATCCACCCACCCATCCATCCATCCATCCATCCATCCATCCATCCATCCATCCATCCACTGACTCAGCCATGTAAATATCCACCCATCTACTCACCCACCCACCCATCCTCGCATCCACCCATCCACCCATCTACTCACCCACCCATTTATCCACTCACCCACACATTCATCCATCCATCCATTCATACAACCACCCACCATCCACCCATCCATCCACCCATTTATTCAACCACCCACCCATCCATCCACATGTCCATCCATCCATCAATCCACAGACCCATCCATCCATTCATTCATCCATGTGTCCATGCATCCACCTACCTATCCATCCATATATCCATGGGTCCACCCAACAATCCATTCATCCATCCACCCATTTAACCACTCATCCACCCAAACAACCATCCACTCATCCATCTACAAATCCATCCATCAATCTATTCACCCACCAACCCATCCATCCACCCACAAACGCAATGATGCATCCATTCAAGTACCCACCCATCCATCCACCCACTCATTTATCCATTCATCCACTCAACCACACACCCATTCATTCATACACCCACTCATCTGTTCACCCACTCATCCATCCATCTACCCACATATACATCCATCCATCCATTCATGTACCAACCCATCCACCTATCCATCCACCCATTCATCCACATGTCCATTCATCCATCCACCCATCCATTTATTCATCCATCTATCCACCAATCCACTCATTCACCCACCCACCCATCTAACCATCTATTTGCAAAGATCCACCCATTCACAATCCACCCATCCCCTCATCCATCTGTCCATCCATCCATCCATCCATCCATTTATCCATCCACACATCTATCCCTACATGTATCCATCCACCAATCCACCCACCCATCCATTCACATACCCATCCTTCCCCTATCCATCCATCCATCCATCCATCCATCCATCCATCCATCCATCCATCCACTCATCCTTCCATTAATGCATGCATCCAACCATCCATCCTCTCACTCATCTATCCACCCACCCATCCACCCATCCATCCATCCATCCATCCATCCATCCATCCATCCATCCATCCATCCATCCATCCATCCATTCCATCCATTCACCCATCCACCCACCCATCCATCCATCCACCCACCCATCTACTCATATATACTTCGATCTACCCCCATCTATCAATCCTGCTGTGGGATGTTCTGTATGTCCTGTGGGAGCCCGTTCTCGGGTTCCTCGTGACTTTACCCAGCAGGTCCGCATAGAGGATGATTAGGACCACGGGCCTGAGTGCAGGTGTCTGAGATGGTCTGCACTTGGCTGTGCTGTGGGATGGTCTGTATGTCAAGTTGCTCTGATTGGTCAATAAATAAAACACTGATTGGCCCATGGTTAGGCAGGAAGTATAGGTGGGACTAACAGGAGAAAAAAAGAACAGGAAGGCAGAAGGAGTCACTGCCAGCCGCCACCCTGACAAGCAGCATGAAAAGATGCTGGTAAGCCACGAGCCGCGTGGCAGGGTATAGATTTGTGGAAATGGATTAATTTAAGCTATAAGAACAGTTAACAAGAAGCCTGCCATGGCCATACAGTTTGTAAGCAATATAAGCCTCTGTGTTTACTTGGTTGGGTCTGACAGGCTATGGGACTGGCGGGTGACAAAGATTTGTCCTGATTGGGCAAGGCAGGAAAACTCTAGCTACACAATCCACTCATCCATCTCGCACCCATCCAACCATCTATTCATCCACCCATCCATCAATCCACAGACCCATCCATTCATCCATCCACCCATCCATCCATCCATCCACCACCCATTCATCCATCCATCCATCCATCCATCCATCCATCCATCCAGTCACTCAACCACACACTCATTCATTCATACACTTACCCATCCATTAATCAACTCATCCATCCATCCACCTATTTATCCACCCACCCACCCACCTACCCACCCATCCATCCACCCATCCACCCATACATCTATTCATCTATCCATCAATCCACAGACCTATCCATCCATCCACTCATTCATTCATTCATCCATCCATCCAACCATTTGTCCACATATCCATCCATCCACTTATCCACTCATCCATTCATTCATCTACACATCCATCTATCTGTCTATCCACCCACTGACACATCCATCCACCCACAAATGCATTCATTCATCTATTGATCCATATATTCATATACCCACCTATCAATTCACCCATCCATTTACCCATTTGTCAGTCCATCTATCCATCCATTCATTCAACCACACACCCATTCATTCATACACCCACCCATCCATTTATCCACTCATCATCCATCTACCCACACATCCATTCATACACCCATCCATACACCCATCCATATACCATCCATCCACATATCCATCTATTCATCCACTCATCCATCCATTCATCTATCCATCCATCGAACCATCTATCTGAAAGCATCCACCCACTCACCCATCATCCATCCCCTCACCGATCCATACATTCATCCACTCATCCATTTACCCATCCATCCATCATTCTACTCATTCATCTATCCATCTATTCACCCATCCATCCACACATGTATCCATCCACCCACCCACCCACCCACCCATCCATCCACCCACCCATCCATCAACCACCCATCCTTCCATCCATTCATCTATTCACCCATCCACCCAACCAACAATCCACTCATCCATCTACACATCCAGCCAGCCAGCCAAACATCTACCCACACATTCATCCATCCATCCATTCATCTATCCACCCTCCCACCTATCGATCATTCCATCTATCTATCTACGTATCCACCTATCCATTCCCCTTTCACCCATCCATTCATTCATTTATCCTTTCATCCATCTATCCATCCACACAACAAAACACTCATCCATCTACCCATCCATCCACTCATCCAATCACCCATCTATCCATTCATCCACTCCCCACCAATCCACCTACCCACCTATCCATTCACAAACCCATCCATCTAACCAACCAAACACTCATCCACCCACCCACCCACCCATCCATCCATCTACCCAACATCCATTTATCCATCTAACCATCCATCCACACATCCATCCATCCATCCACACATCCATCAAATCACCTATCCATGCATCCATCCACTCAGCACCCATCCACTTACCCACCCATTCATCCATCTGTCCACCAATCCATTCACACATGGTATGCATGCATCCATCCATCCACCCATCCATTCTTTCACCCACCCATCCATTCAGTCATCCATCCACACATCCATCAATCCATCCATCCATCTGTGCATCCACACAGTTTCCCACCCACCCATCCCCCCACTATCCATCCACCTACCCATTCGTTCATCCACTCATTCATCCATCTACCCACCTATACATCCATCCACCATTCCATACACCAATCCATCTATCCATACATACATACATTCACCTACCCACCCTTCCATCCACTTATCCATCCACCCACCATTCCATCCATCCATCTATGCATCAATTTATCTATTTATTAATCCATCCATTTATCCACCCACCCATTTTTCTATGCATCCACCCATCCACCCATCTATCCATCCACCCATCCATTCACTAATCCATCTATTCATCCACAGATCCATCCATCAATTAATCCTCTCAACCACCCTCTCATCTACCCACCAACCTACACATCTATCTATCCATGCATCCATCCCTGCAACAATCCCTCTATGTATGAATCCATCCACTGATCCATTTACTCATCCACCCTTCCATCCATTCATCCATCTGCCCACCCATTCATACAATCATGCATCAATCCCCACATCCAACCATCCACCTTCCATCTATCCATCCACCCACCCACACACCCATCCATTCACCTATCAACACAGCCATCCATCCATCCATCCATCTACTCCTCCATCCACTCCTCCATCCACCCATCCATTCTCCCACCCATCCACCCACCCAACCACCCACCCACCCTTCCGCCACTGACCCATCTACCCACCCACCCGTTTATCCAATCATCCACACATCCATTCTTCCATC